ATTTTTAAAATGAAATCAGAGCTCGTCGCTGAGTAGATTGATGAATAAATCGTCGAACTTTGCCGCTTATTCAACCTTGAAGGATAACCTGGAAAGGTCGGAATTTTTGACGGACGCTACGGACGTCTTTGACGAACGTCTTCGTATCTAGTATGTTCTGGTGCTTGCAAATTAAAATCGACCGGAATTTTTAAATGATAGCGAGTTCCCTGCCGTTTGAGCCTGAGTTTTACCTTGTGAGGTCACCTGGGGAGGACAGCACTTTTTGACCGTCGCTAATTCGTCGAGTGGTGAACATTTTGATCCTCGGAAGCTTAACATCGGCCGTTAGCTTTTTGGTGGTGTGGAGTTACCCGTGCTTTGAGCCCTAGTCTGACCTTGAAAGGTAACCTTGAGAGGTCAAGACTTCTTGACGGAAGCTTGCTCTTGCTCTTGTGACTATTTTGATATTTGCAAATCTGAAGTTTACCTTTTTCGTTGCATATTTAGTGATATTATCCCTCGTCCTTTGAGGCAGAGTATGATTTTGAAGCGTGACCCTTAGAGATCAATACTTTTTGACGGGCACTAGTCATTTTGCTTGTAAGCATTTTGACATTTGCAAATTTAGAATCGGCGGGTAGTTTTTGGTGATATAAAATTTTTCGTCCGTTGATTTCACCTTGAAACCTACTTGATATTGCAAAATTAACGTCATTTTTGATGATCTCGTGCCACGACTAACGATACAACTCGTTTTTAGAGAAATCAGAACTCGTGTTGAATAAATTGCAGAATAAATTGCCCTTTTCACAGACATATCATGGTCTGGTGAAAATGATCGTGCTCCATGCATGTGCATGCGTAGGCTGTCTCGTTCTCTAGGCCTGCGCACAAGATAATGTATTCACGTACAGAAAATAACACACAGAAGAATCTTAAAATGCAATGCAACGATCTTTTGGAGCGGGTTCCCTACTCCAGGGAGCGACAAAGTTGCACGTCCGTCAATCTAGCAGCAGATTGACTAGATTGACGGACGTCAAAGTTGCGTGCCTCCCGCTCGACGAAATCCTGGATCCACCAGTCATTCTCACTTACTGCTAGCTTCGCGACCGTGCCTCAAAAGTCCCTAAAATTGGTAAAATCGGTTTTTGGGTCTATAATTATTAAACTGCATGTCCTCATCAAATTTCAAGGAGATACAGTGATATCCTCCGGTTAAACTGCCGTGGAAGGACTTATGCCTAGCATCAAAATTTGTGGCAGTAATTCAACACGGTTGTTTGATGGAAAATGTCTCCGGCTCGCCGCAATTCGGCATAACAAACCAATGCGTGGCATATTTATGCGGATTTGTAATGTTAAACTCTGCATCTATTTTACTGAGTCCGTAGCGCTGCAGAGAGGGTGCTAAAATCACACCCCGAAATATTTAGTGTAAGCCACAGCTCGGGGACTGTCCGTTTTTCAGTGAGTGTACCAGCCTGCCCAGAAAGTGAAGTGGAATTGCCTGGTAGGAACTGGCTTTTTGAATACTTCTTATCTGAGAAATTTGACGGATTTTTTTGCAGGAGCAGGTTTGGTATCAGGGTCCTTGTGAGGCATAGGTTTACTAAAGAAATCCAACCAAACCACCCTTTGAGAGTGGTGTCAGTTTGGTGATGGCAGTTCATGGTCCACATTGGTAACTTCCACTGCAATATGGTTCATCAACTGATTCTGTAAGGATGTCAGAGACTATAAGTTCTCTTCTTCTGGCAGGATTATTTGAGGGATATTTATTGCCACCTTCAAAATAATATCATTAGGATATTTTGAGGGCAGATTTTGGCCAAATGCTGGTTTGTCACACTGATGGAATGAGTGCTAATGGAAACATCCATCCTTCCTATCCTCTATCTTGCGTCATCCTGCATCCTCGCAACAGCCTTGTCCGGGGCCAGCGGCTGCGTGCGTCAGCCACGAGTGGGCCGAGAGGGCCGAGAGCCCAGTGGGAAGAGGGGACCCTGGACAGGTATGCAGGCATGAGGGGGTGTAAGCTCAGCAGTTGGCCCCCAGGCGCAACATGTCTGTCCCATTGTTAACCATTTTCCTTCATCCCATAGCCCTGAATGATCATGTTTGGCTGAAAGGGGCTATACAACGCAAAACCAGAGTGCTAATGGAATGATGGGTTGCAGGGAGGAGGGGAGGTGTGGTAATGCTGGTTAGTTTAATAAAGGGTGGGGTGAGGTGATGTGAGGTGAGGTGGGCTGAGGTTAAGAGTCAGGTTATGTAAAGTTAGCTGTAGCCATTCCTCCTTCTTTTTGAAAAAGGCATTCACATGGAGAAGGTGCAGGTTGACAAGGTCATCGGGCAATGGCACAGGGCTGGTAGTGGGTTGGAAGGGTTGTGTCTCTGGAGCATTCAGATGTTCACTTTTATGATAGGATAAAGTTGAAAGGTAAGAGTGAAGCTCTATCTGTTTATGATCATGTATAAAATATGCTGCCTAAAAGAAGACCCCTTATGCACAGTGCTCTACAGTAATATAAGGTCCCCACATTTACCTACACTGTCTCAGTTGAATTCCTTGGAAGCCAGGGGCCATGGTGACCAGTAATCATCCAGTCTGCAACAGATGGCAGACTGGTTAGGATATGTGGAGCATGTGTGATCCCGCTTCAAGTGAGGCAGCCAACTTCTCTGCTAGGGTGTGGGCCAAGTATTTAATGTACTTGGGTACAGGTCTCCAAGATTCACCATTTTCCTGACTGCCTTAGTGTTTACGCCCCAGACTGCAAACAGTAACAGGTTAAGACAAGATGTTGGGACATAGATGAGGTTCAGCTTCAACTTTTGGGTAGCATATACAAGTAATGAAGCAGGAGTTAGTGACTTTTTTATTAAGAGAATTGTAATAAGTTCTTTATTATCTTTGAAATTGAGAACATCTTGGAAAATGGCCTAATGTGATGGCAAGTAATGCTTTGATGCATGTGAGGTCAACAAAATTTCCTCTTAATGGGGTAGTTTACTATGCTACTTGATGCAGGATTGTCTGCTTCAAACATCTTGTTGGCATGTTTGCTGTGGTTCACAGACTGGTTTACACATACTGGCTACTGTTTACTGGCTACCTGTGCTGCTGTGCTAAAGCTAGGTCACTACCAGACAAAATTTACCAACCAATGTTTCTGCATAATATCTTAGTGCTGCAAAAAGTTATGGCATCTAAAAATGCATCTCATGTTTCACAATGTAAAAAAATGAAATATTACTTCAGTCAGCCACTATGCTGACACTGGATTATCTGACAGGCTGTTGTTTGCAGCTGCCCTTTGCAGTTGCTTTACTTATGAAGCACAAGCAGCATAAGCTGGCTCATGGGGCTTATGCAATGCTTTTTGTCTGAACATCAATCAAATTGCTTTATCTGTCTGCAGAGTGTATGGGTTTTTTAAGATCTGCTGCATCCATGATAGGACAGGGTAACAAGGCAGGGTAGAAACAGCATCTAACCAACCAAATCAACCAAGTTGATGTTTGATATGCTAAGTGAGGAATGATTGCCCAAAGCTTCTGAAATTTGCCCTTACTATCAATTTTTGCCCAAACTGTGCCCCAACAACATATTATCAAAATCCACCATGTTTTGCAGGCTGGTTGATCACACACAAGTTGTGATGTCTTCAAATGTAAGCTAGTTGATCTGAAGCAGTGAGAAATGATCTGCATATATCTCATCATAAGCACAGGAACAATTTCACCATTAACACCTAGTGTCTTTTGAACAGTGAGAGTATCTTTGCTTACAGGCATTCAATGATTGTGCTTTCCAGTTGATTTTCTGCTGATGTGGTAGAACTAAGGCCAGAAAATTTTCCAGTCACTCATTTAAATGAAGCAAAACTGCTTGTGAAAATATGCTATTCAGCTTGAGATGCTTCTGTTGAAGTCAGTATTTGATCTCTGAATAATATATGAATGGCACCACTTGAGAAATTTTAAGAAAAAAAAGATAAAAGCTTTGACTGATCATGGGAGTCTTTGTATTGCAGGTTGAACTAATGTTATTTATCAATGAAAGCAGCAGGATGGGCCTAACAACACTTGTTTTATGCCACTACTTGCCAGTCCTGGTAGGATAATGATATGGCTGCTATTTGCCCTGACTGGTATAGTCTGCAGCCAGAAGCAGCTGCCCCACCAAAATGGCAGATGATATTGCAGATAGGTCATGCTCTACCAAGTGTTCTGACATGTACTAACTTGCGCCTCAAAGTTCAGTAGATGGTGTGGAATTTCACAATTGGGTGGTCAGGTTTTTCTTGACATGGGTTCTGATCCAGAAATGCATCCAATCAAGTGGCTTGACTTTCATTTTGAAATTGGAAGCTGTTGCCACTATTGGATAGTCCTTGGATGCTGGGTACAAACTTTCAAGCCGCACTACTACTTAAACCACAAGTTACACTTCTACTACTACATACCTTCATGTCAGTTTTAGTTGGGGTACAAAGAAGGTTCCATCAATATGAAAGAGTCTTGTCAGGTCTCAGCAAAGTCCACATTGTTTTTCAGTCATGACATGATATGTTTGATAAATGGCATTGCAGGCTTTACATGGGCCAGCACAGCACTATGGATGGCATGGTCTTGACATGGGATAGCCTGTTCAAGCATTCTTAAGCAGTGAATAGATTTGATGTCATTCCATTGTGAACTTGCTTTCTGGGATATTTTAAATCAGGTTTGAAGGTGGCTTTAAGCCATTTTTTGGCACTTTCAGACAATTTTCAAAGAAGCCTGAGTACATTTCAAAAGAAGTTTGAAACTGATGTTTTCATGCTGTCCATATGCAATTTGGCTACATAATACATTTGCCACATTATTATGCATAACCATTGTGCTTAGACAGCACATTATAAATGGCACATTTCTTTAAGCATTTTTACCCTTGTGTGCAGCACCAACTATTGAGTGGAAAAGTAACCTTAGTACCAAGGGTGTTTTCCTTGTTGGTTAGGCCAGCAGATCAACTCTGCATGACTAAAGAGAACACTAGCAGGTCAACCTCATAGGCAAATGGTTGGAAGTGGTTGGGGAGGTCTGTGCCCCATGAATGGTACTGCATTAGGCTGATCTGACTATCCAACAAATATTGAATTTCAAATGCCTACTGCACAGTGCACATTTCAACTGATCTCAGAAGAAAGGCTTGAATGTGTGAAGTGGTTATGGTTCAGCGATATAGATGGATAGAGCTGTTCTGAATGTGCTAGCTTTGATTATTTTGAGCAGATAAGAGCTGAGCTCTGTTAATTGGCATTCACACAATTAGAGAATGACGGTGGCCAAGCAAAATGTCTTTGCAGCCACAGTGTGTTTGTGGCGCGTCAAACTGAGCCCCATCTAAAGTCTCGAGTTACCCGCCCTTTTTTCCTCCTTGCTTCATCCTGCGTCCTCGCGACGGCCCACTTCTCAGGGGGCAGGTTGCACGTGCCAGCCACGAGTGGGCAGAGGTGCTCCCTGGTGGAGTCCCGTCTGAGCGCCGAGCACGTGCCGCGTATTGGGATCAGTGTGCAGGCTAAGTCCCGGCGGATGGACCTCAGGCGCCCAGGCGTAGTATTGCCCCACCATTGTCTGTTCACCATTTCACAGCTCTGAAGTGGTCATTACTGAGGGGAGGAGCTTTAGCCCAAGCCAAATAAAAAGGCCATAACAGCAAATCTTGTTTCCCCCATTCATGCTTCATCCTCAATCCTCGCATGTCTCCGCGCTGAGTAGCGTGCATCAGCCATGAGCGGGCTTAAGCGGCGCTCCCAGCTCTGGCGGCGGCTCCGTCTGACTACCGCTGAAGCGGCAGCAGTGCCCAGCTACGCACCCCTCTGTTCTATCCCACAGCCCTGAAAGGGTCAGTTATGGCCGAGACAGATTTAATGCCGAAGAAATGTAAAAGACGGCATTGTTGAAAGCGAAACATTCGCCAAATGCGAATACCAGCCTAGAAGGCCACTTGCACATGGGTTCGCACGCACTCGAATGAGTGTGGAATTGGTTGGTTGTGTGGAGTAGTTTCCGGTGCTCATTTCGAGTTTGTTATGGCCGAAACTGCAACAGACATGTCCATGAGCTTTTTAAAGCTCTGAGCAGATCACTGACGTAAAATGACCCCAGGGCCAGCATTTTGTTTTTTAGGACATACCGCCTAGCGTAGTCCCTGACGCCTACTCGAATGTAAAATAGGAGCAAGTCTGATAGGTATTTGGCACCTTGACCTTGTAAGGTGAAACAAGGTCACTGATCTCATTGACCTTTTGCTCAGAGCAGGCATCTAGCTTCACGGCGGCTGCATGAGGAAGTCTGGGAGCAAATGACCCCGGAAGTGGGCGCGCCTTAAAACCCCAATTACCATCATCAAGTCTGGAAGCACTTGAGACACCAATCTAAAGTTTGACCTTGTTTGATCCTACTTGATCCCACGGTCATGACCTAGGAACCTCAGATTGCGGCACGAGTGAATTCACGTATAGGCCAGTCTACCTGCTCAATTTGGTGTCTTCAGCTGTCTTGGTTTTCGAGATATCAGGGGGTTAACTTGACCCGCACCTGAGCAAAGGGTATCCAACCAGCCACCGGGGCGCGTGTTAAAAGTGACAAGCATGCGATTTCGGCAAGACAGCATCGGTAACGTCAACAACGACGATTGGTAACACGTGCGTGTCCCCAAATTGCAACACAACAATCAAAAGCGAAGCCCTGCGTCGACTTATGCACGGGCATGATTGGGCATTGTCGCATGTTTGCGAGTAAATACCCTTGGGGGTGTGCCCGGACGAGGCCCACCGCTGCAGGCCTCGTCTGCGTGACGCGCCGCTTTCATATTTATCCGAGGTTTTATATTTACATGCATTCGCATACTCCGTTATGCAAATTTCTGAAATTATTCGATTCCCGGTCTTATTTCGGCCTTAACTCATGTCACTGCCCATGTTCTTGCAATTTGCAACACACAACGTGATTGGTCTTCGAATCTTGCTCTGATCGCATTGCATTGATTGGTGGCCAGCTGGCGCCCCTTGGTGCCAGAAATCGTGCTGACGCACGCCAGACACCAACAATGTCATGAGGCTATTTGTATTGACCTTATACGTTACCTGGCGAATGAGGTGGCAGTTTTCGCGTGACTTTTCCATGACGTAAAGGATGTCTGGGTGACCCAGAAATAGTCTGCTCGAAGTAGTCTGCACAAGTTCGTGGGTGTCCAGCTCAGAAAGAGGAGGGTTTTAAGTCTTAAAAAGGACGTGGCTATGGACTGCACTGAACGATTTCAAATGGCTATCTCAGTCCAAAACCCCACACAAATGTGGAGCACTCCCTTTGATACATTCACAGTTAGCACGGTATAATTCCTCTAGCAACGCTATCAAGACACTTCATCTATGTCATTAAACACATGGTACCTGTGCGTTCGTAAACACATGGTACCTGGCTGTATGGCTATCTAAGTATGGGCTGAAGAAAAAATCGAGTAAATGACATCCAGATCAGCAGGATAATAATCATGGCCAGAAATCTTGTGTGAGTGAGCCCTGTACTTTAGTTATTATGTGGCAAAAGGGATGACAGGATAAACATCATATAATTATTTGGTGATGGTAGCTAAGATCAGATTGTGGTCAGAATGGACTGTCAGTGGTGGGTCCAGGGCTGGCTAAGCGAAGTGACAATCCCATCACATCCTGATTACATGTGGTATTGATTCTGTACCACGTGTATCATCTTCCATGCGGTTGGTACTCATGTTTTGTGCTTGAAGTTTTATGTCGTGGCGTGCTCTCCTATGTAGCTTTTATGCCAAGCAGTGTATTTTCTGGGAACATTTTGCCTTTGGTATTTTTCAAACAATATTTATCCTGCAGTTGCATATACCAGCGCCAACATGACTGGTATTTTCCGTATCACATCGGTGCTGATCTGTACATGGTTCGGGAGCTGAGCAATCCTCCATCATAGCCGCGCCAGAGAGCTGTGGTGTGCTGACGACTGTCTGTAGTTTCAGCCCGCTGAGCGAGCAGCATATGGCCATGCAGTCCGTACTGAACACGGTCCGGAGGGCCGCCCTGGGCGTGGCTGATCAGCTGATTCCTCTGCCGGGGGTGAGTGATAACTCCGACTGCGCACACGGCCTACGGCCAGAGCATTTCCATTGGGCGCCCTGTTGCCATTCAGCTATCAGTGACGGGCAACTTTGTCTCTCCGTGGTACAACGTTCGAACGAGTCGTGGTCACGAGGGCCCCTCCTCAAGAGTCGGCTCCTCGTCGGGGGAAAACACGGACATCCTCGTTTCGGAGAGCATTCGCCATGGCATGGTCGGCGAGGGCATTCCCACGATGTCCATCCTCCACAACGCTTTCTCACGCCTTGTTGGTGTTATAATTGACAAAGCGTGTGGAGGGGTGCTCCCGCGTCGTGAGCTCGTGTCCGTGACGTCACCTCACGGCCGCAGGAATCCTGCTTCCGAGAGCGTGGCATGCTGACGCCGGACGAATTTGTCGAGTGCGGCGACCAGCTGGTGCACAGCTGCCCCACCTGGTCCTGGGCGTCAGGCGAGGCGGCGCACGCCAGACCCTACCTGCCGGCCGACAAGCAGTTCCTCATCACTCGCAACGTGCCCTGCCACCGCCGCTGCAAGCAGGTACCGTCCGGGGCCGCGGGCAGCTGGCCGGCTGGCGAGCCTGGCGGCTGGCTGTCAGTCACCGGCCGCGCCCCGTCAGCGCCGTCGGGGCGGGATCCGGAGCCGGCCGCGCAGCAGATGGCGCTGGGGTGGGAGGTGACGGGCCAGACGGGGGCTCGGCCGCGCCGGGCGACGTCGTGTACGGCCTTGGGACGGATCTATCCGTGCTGCGGCACTGCTCGCCACTTGCGCCTCCGTGTTTCGGCGCTGTTGCGCTGCGCAAGTAGTGTCGGCGCCGGCCGTGTGCTGACGGGCGGCCTCCGCCTGGTCGCCGTGCGGTAGTGTCGGTATTGTCCGTGTGTTGACGGGCGGCCTCCGCCTGGTCGCCGTGCGGTAGTGTCGGCATTGTCCGTGTGTTGACGGGTGGCCTCCGCCTGGCCGCCGCGCAGCTGGACCACGACGAGGCGCAGGAGCGGCTGATCGCGCCGCTCGACGGCGAGGACGAGGGCTGGGTGGACACGCACCACTTCAGCACGGCCGCTGCGGGCGAGGAGCGCGCCGCGCGCAGCATGGAGGCCCCCAGCGCGCCGCCGCCGCCCGCGCCCGCCGCTGACGACGACGACGGCGAGGACGGCGAGCCGGGCGACATGGAGGAGTTCGAGGAGAGCGCGCTGGATGACGCGGTGGGTGGGCGCGGTCGGACGCTGCTCGGTGCCGTTAGGGCCGGCGTCGGACAGCGGTCCGCTGCACGAGCGATGACGTTAAGTCAGATGTGAGCTTCGGTAGTGCAGGGGACGCGCTGATAAAGGTTCGCGTTCTAATGGTATTCGTGTTTTTCGCCATGTGCTCGCGATGATGTAAATGCCCCGCTTATGTCATTTTGATCCCAGGGTGCATGGACGCCAACCACTAGGAAGGTTATCTACTTCGCTTCTTGATGTCGGCTACGCAAGCCGGCATAGACCACGCGCTTCGCCAGCTATCCGTGGAACGGGACGATGTTTGAAAAATAATTATACGAATTTGTTCATTGCCGTGGAAACAACTTCCAGCTGGGGTGATGCGTGTGAGTCGTTATGAGGACGGGTAGACGCCAGCAAAGTGCGCCTACAAGTCGTGTCTGGTGTGGCTTGTGCCCGTCCCTCGCCATCGGCGGGTGTGACGCTGGCGCTCTCCGGCCTGTGCGGGCAGGATGACGCCGTGGTGCGGACGGTGCCGGTCACCAGCCGGCGGCCGCCGGCGCCGCCTGCGCCGCCGCCGACGACGCCGACATTGTGCGGGACGCGCACGTATCACCTGAACATCACCTATGACAGATACTACCGCACGCCGCGTCTCTGGCTGCAGGGGTTCGACGAGGTCGGTGGGCGAGACGTCGGGCAGCGCCAGCGCTGCGTGGCGCCGGTGGATCAGTCACGTGGCGAGAGCTTATCGGCCGAGGCTGTGTTCGCCCCGCTGGAAGCAGCCACCACTTTGTGCCGCAGGGAGCAGCCAGTGATTTGTGCCGGAGAAAGCAGCCGATAATGTGTGCGCTAATCGCGATGCGTTCGAGATTACCGTCATTTAGCGTCGCTGTCCGTCACGGGGAATGCCGGGAAATGCGAAATACTGGGAGTCAGGCTCAAACCTGCCGCTTGCCGCCTGCGGCAGAATTGGATGCTCTAGTGGCGGCTGCTTTCCACGCGGTTCAAGACCGACGTGGAGAGCAGCTGGTGTACTGTTGACGTGAAGGTTTCCAATACGTTGCTGTCGCGCCAGACGCTGAGAGCTGGATTTCTGGCGTCTTCTGTATTTCAAAATAGACAAATCATTCATCCAGCCAATTAATCAAAATCAATTAAATCAATAATCAATGTCGTGCTATCGGTATTATGCCGGTAGTGTCCTATCTGCAGATTTGCCGTGTGCTGCTCGGTCGCTGTCGCGCTGCTCCGGCGCTGTTGTGCTGTCATGTAGACGTCAGCCCTGCTCCGTCGGCGCCGGCGCTGGGGCTGAGCCGCCGCCTCCGCAACTAACGCGCGCTCCACCCGTGGCAGAACCGCCAGCCGCTGACGGCCGAGCAGATGTACGAGGACTTCAGCCAGGACCACGCGCACAAGACCATCACCATGGAGGCGCACCCGCACCTGGTGGGGCCGCCGCAGGCATCCATCCACCCGTGCAAGTGAGCGGCGCCCGCCCATGTCCCGTGCTGAAGTCGCTAGGCCGCTGCCGCGATGTGGGGGCCCCGATTTAAAGTCGGTTCGTCTGATAGAATGTCGGTCGCGCAGGCGTGTTGTGAGGATAGAGCACAAGCAGGGCATCAGTCTGTCAGAAAATGAAGTGGTGGTGGTTTGGAAACAGACATCGAAAATGCCTAGGTAAATATTTAAAGAAGCGTTGGAGGGCACGATGTATGGGAGTGTTGTAACGCTCACGGTGTGTCGGGCTCATGCCATTTTCAGGTGGTTGTGGACGTGAAGGTAGCTGATAGCCACATGAACTCGGGATCATCTTGAAACAACACAGATTGACATGGCCAACATTCACCGCAATTCATGTGAAGATATAAGAAGCCTTTTGAGCGCGAAGTATCCCTCGTACATCTTGCCGGTCATTGTTTGCTGTTTGCTCAGTTACGGTGCTTGTAGGATTGTTGCATAATCTTGCGCGTATCGTTCGTTTGAATTAGTATTGTACTTGCTTGCATGCATGTATTGGTACGGCATACCCGTGGGCCGCATAATCCCTCGGCAATCTGACCGTTTCGGACTGCCAGATGTGGGTGATACCATTCCCGTCGGCAGGCACGCCGACACCATGAAGAGGCTCGTGGAGACGGCTGAGGAGGGCGGCCGCCAGATCTCCGTCCAGAAGTATCTCATCGTCTTCCTCAAGTTCATGCAAGCCATCATTCCGACCATTGAGTACGACTTTACGCAGAACATCCAGTTGTGAGGCGCGAACGCTGCGGTGGCGCGCGCGGCGTGGTCGGACCTCAGGGGTCTTGGGGGGACGCTGACGGACGGGCGGCGCCGGCGCCGCTGATGGACCCCCCAAGGCCGCGAGGTGGCGCTGGCAGACCGTGGAGGCGGCAGCGCAGCGATGCGGGGCGGACGCGGAAAGCGTTGGAGGGTGCGGAGACCTCGGCCCCCGGGAACGGACTGGCGGAGACGGTCGGCGGGCTGCTCCCTGTGCTCGCGCGTCGCTGGCTGGGTGCGGCCGGGCTCGTGAGCGCCGGCGGCCACCAAGCCCCGCCCGACGTCTGGGGAACGCGTCGCTGCCGTCATAATGCACGGCCACAATGGATGCTGCCGACAGATGCCTCCAGGTTTGCAGTGTCAGCGGTATGCAAGTGTTGCTCGTTGTGGTTCTTCCCGCCGATGTTTGGGCCAGCTGCTGTTGTGCTAAGCTTGGATGACAGCACATTTCAGTTACGTGTGGGGGTTTATGAGACCTCGGCCGCACTGGTGTCATGGGGTGTCGGAGCGTGTCTGAAGGTGGCCCGGCGCCCAGCCGCGTCCTCTCTGCCGTCCGTTGCGGCCTGCTTTACCGCTACGCCAGGGGAGCCTGCGACCGGGTGCTTCACGCCGCTGGGGGAGGGGAGGGAGCGGGCGGCGACCGCCATTCGATTGCGAGGCCCGGTGGGTGGGTCTGTGCTCTGGAGGCCCTCTGACGCCCACTGGTTCTCCATAACGTGGTATCGTGGCTTCCGGCGATTCAGCCCGCTCTGGCCTGCCCGGCTGAGCCGGCGCGCTGCTGGGCCGCGCCGCTCTGCCTGCTCCGACTGTGATGATTCAGAGCGACAAGATCTGCGACCGAAATACAGCTTGCATGATTTTGTCCGGATCGTTGTGTGTGTGTCTGTGTGTCGGGCGGTGGTGCCTGACCATGGCGGGGCCTCCCAGCGTTTCAAGGCGCGCTTTTACAAGGTTCCATCATAGTCAGGATTTTCACGGATTATAATCGCGGCAATCACAGGGTTATGTTAACTCAAATGCCAACCGATAAAAGGAGTGCTTTTACTCGCGGCTGGTAGTTAAGCCTGTTCCAAATTGGTTTCTGTCAACCTCTGGTGTGCGTGCCGAAACTGGCAACACGGGCATAAGCTGACAAAAACTCTGAATATCATGATCCCCTTCAAAATTGTAGGCATTTCATTAAATTAAGATCGCAAGACCTTCAGTTCAGTGGGTGTAATAACGTGGCACTCTGTTTTCTGGGCGGGAATTTGTCCTTAAGATGTTGGGGAATCGCTAAAGATAGGTATTTCACCACCCTGTTAAAAACGACATATTCGGAGTTGCGTCTGACGTAGCATAAGGGTTAGCATCGGACCCCACATACCCGCACCCACGCACGCACGCACGCACGCGCGCATGCACAAAGCAGGCAGAAAACATCAGTGGTATATGCTTTATTGTCACGGATTGCGATTACATGATTGTGCTAGAGACACGCCACCTTCCTTGGTGCGGGCACCCATTCAGCGAGTGTCAGCTGGCGCCGCCTCTCACATCCCACCATACAGCTGCGGCCGGCACCGACTTGGTGGCGCCCACCTCCCCAACAGGTGGCGCGCCCTACCAAACGCCCTGGCGCCCGTCTGCCACGGCCGGCAGCTGACACAGATTGCATCGCTCTCGGCCCAGAGGTTGCGGTGCTAATGCTGTACCTGTTTGAATGTAGCGCTGCGGCTTGGGCGATGCCCACGCCGGGGTAGACTTTCTTTCTGAAAGCTGGAGAGACGAAGCGCAGTGTTCGCAAGAAGGCAACATGGGTATTGATTTAATATAGTGCGGCGCAGCTTTCATTTCCAGAACTGGGTACGCTTGCCAGCGACGAAGATACGATAAGCCGCCGCCCAGCTCGTCAACTGCACTCAGTATAAGCAGGTGACTACCACTGGTGCGCACCGGTGCGGCCGACGGCAAAGAGCCAGTCGCCGCCGGTGAGCCTATTCCTGTGTCATCAGTGAAAAATGTTCGCTGTCCGACACTCACACGCTAGTTACGAACAGGCATTGCGCTCACGCAGGCACTCACCACGGATCATCACGCCCCGAAGGCACCAGTTTATAAAAATAAGGACCACGAGGGCGCGTTCTGATAACAAGACGCGGGTGAAGGCACCCTAAACTGTGGTCAAGAGAGGTCTGGCGCGTGTGACGGACACGACCTGATGCTCGCTCCCTACCACGTTTGTGGATTATGAGGCACGAGTGCGTGCATATCAGTCAGGCACTGCACACAGCTACGACACTGCACCATGTGACAATCTCGCACATAGCAGTGTTCGCGTTATCCGACGACGCATCGGACTGCAAATGTCATATCAGAGTCGAAGACGGCCATTCCATGACACAAAACGCTCAGTAAACTGCCACACTGCCACACTCGCCACACTGCCACTGCCACACTCGCAAGACCGGCGCACCACGAGGACCAGCCTGCCTACGCGAGCTCCTCGCGCGTCCAGCTGACCTGGGTCGCGTCATCCAGTCGAGGCGCAGCGCTGAACCGAGCCACCTCCGCGACGCACGCCTGGCTGAGCGGCAAGAGAGGCAGCCGGAGGCGCGGGCCTGGGCCGAGCCGCTCTACGTCGGACGCCTGACGACGCGGCGAGTGGGGCAGCCGGGGGCGCGGGCCTGGTTAAGTGTAACACCGATCGTTCCTTGCGCGGTGCCGCGGCGCCGCTTGCTCGCGGTCTGGGCCGCCCGCGCCCTCTGCTGGGACCGCGGAGCCGGCGCCGGCCCTCGCCTCCCGCGTGGCCTCAGCGCCGTCCGCTCCGGCACATCGAGCCGCGCTAGACGGGCACCAGCTCCGCGTGCTCCGCCTGCGTCGCCGAGCCTCGGTCCTCGGCCTGCTCTGCCCTGTAGGCGCGTCCGATGCGGCCGCACGGACTGGTGTACTGCCAGGGCACCACCATCACCAGCCCGGCGGCCATCAGTAGCACGCCGGACAGGTAGAAGCTGTAGTCGTACACCAACATGTAGTCGAACAGCATTCCTGTGACAGAAACCGGCCGGGCTTCTGTCAGAGGGCCGCGTCGCCAGCAGATTATCCCACACATGCCCCTGAGTTTCGTGAGGATGACAGGGGCGAGGGTGGAAGCACTTGTCAAAACCGAAGGCCGTGCTGCACTATGTGGGGTACCACATGGAGTAGTGAAGGCTGGTGCCAAGTCGTGCAGAAGTTAAGGGCGATGTGTGTAACGTACGTGCGGCTTTTAGAAGAAAACTTGTGCGATCAGTGGGATTCGTGCTTTAATAACCCACACCTGATACCACGGGCTGCAAAACCTACGAAGTTGGTGAAAGTTGCGCAAAAATCTATACATATCAAGAAAAGACGAAGAAATCATAGTCCGTTCTAATTCCAGGTTTTGACATTACTCTTCAGCAGCATACGTGGAAGCAGCCGTCGCTCCAGCCTGGAGGTTGGAGCAGTTGCACCCAATACGGCGATACAGTGGTCGACCACCCACCGGCAACGGGTCCTCCTAGCATAGAGCCGGCGCCTTCGAACAGCAGGAGAAAGCCGTAGCCAATGCCGAGGCGCTGGTCACCCACTAGTCGGATGATGATGTCAGGAAGGAGGGCACCCAGACATGAGCTGCAGAAGCCGAACACGCTGGCACACACGCAGAGCGCTGCCGAACACAGAACACAACGGTCAGGGGACGGGTCCAAAATGCAGCAGAACACAGAACTCAGCAGTCGGGGGATGGCGGTGCCGCCGCCGCCGAACATAAGCACAGACGTCAGGAGAAAGAACCGATCACGCTCCCGAGCATAGATCACAACACAACAGCTTTGTTCCGTTTTGCAGAACACGCACAAACTTGTGAAGCACGATTGACACGCTGCCGAACACTGGGTAAACTGGTCAGGAGACGGCAACGACAACCCCTCCGAACGCATTTATCAAAAAGTTATAAGACAAGAGCTAAAATTCTGCGTCACAACGAGCACAGTGATCAGGAGACTTAGAACTGATCGCACTGCCAAATACAAAACGCGGCGGTCGGGAGTGGGGTAGTTCATGGCATGCGTCGGGGTGGGAGAGAATCCGTCGAAGAACGCAAAGCCTTTTTGCTGCTTCAGTGCTGTTAGCGCCTTTTTTGGTAGTGGTCAGAGCAGACGGCTAAGTACCAAACGCAGAGGTCAGCAACGAACATAGTACGATACAACAAAGGGAAATGGAGAATTCCCCTTTCGCTAATCATAAGACAATGATAGCCCTATTCTTATTATGTGCCCATATCATGCGGCAGCCAGGGACTTACCAGAAGCCCGCTCGGCTACCTAATTGCGCTTAAATTAAGATTGCGTGTAGAATACTAAGGCCTCTCACGATGTTTTTTTCAAGAGTGACCATCCGGTATCTCCGGCAGCCCTTCCAAATATCGCTGACCAGGGCCGATCGGAATGAGGGCTCACCGATGACGCTGTTGGAGGCGGGCATGAGCAGGGTAGCGATGCCGGACCCCACGCTGGACACCATGTAGACGAGAATGGTGGTCATGCGTGGGAAATGACAGACCACGCCGTGCAGGACCCGGCCCACCTGTCGGTCGGTAACAGCTGTCAGCCCAGAGGCCGCGACCAGCGCACATCCGAGCTGGCACCCAGAGCGCCGCGCTCTGCGCGCACTGTCGAGCGAGCAGGCCGGCAGGCTGAAGCTCTGCGGTCACTTTCAGGCGAACAGGCCGGCAGGCTGAAGCTCTGCGGTCACTGTCCGGCGAACAGGACGGCAGGCTGAAGCTCTGCGGTCACTGTCCAGCGAACAAGACGACAGGCTGAAGCTTTGCGGTCACTGTCGGGCGAACAGGTCGGCAAAATGAAGCACACACTGCTGTTGATGCCTTGCATTAGGGTTTGCCTTGTGCGTATGAGGCTGAGCTTACATTTGAACAATACTGCGTGTGTGTGTGTGTGTGTGTGTGTGTGTGTGTGTGTGTGTGTGTGTGTGTGTGTGTGTGTGCCCTTTTGTTAGCAAATTTCCTATGGCATCCTCTGCCTCTCGCGATACAATTGGAGCGATTCCTACTCGGAATGGCAACTAGGACGCTGCCTGGAAGGCAGCCAGCCAGCAACGGGTCAGCAGGTTTACATGGCGTTTGCGCACGTAGACTGGGGCAGAAAAGCAGCTCAGAGTCCTTTAGAGCGACATGTCAAAAGTGCAAAGAGAATATCGATAAAAAAGTCATTTAGGGGAAAAGCGCCTGCGCGGAAGAAAAACAAGTGGTCCTTTAAGACTGCATCCCATGTTCAAAGTGCCACGACAATGTTCAAAACAAGGCCGTTAAGGGGCAAGGCGTCCGGGTGGAAGGGCAGCACATGGCCCTTTGTCATAACATCTCACGTTAAAAGCGCGAAGAGACTGTTCAAAACAAAGCGTTTAAGGGGCGAGGCGTCTGGGTGGAAGGGCAGCACATGGCCCTGTGTCATAACACCTCACGCTAAAAGCGCGAAGAGATTGTTCAAAACGAGGTCATATGCAGCGGGAATCCCCGAGAAAGCCAACTGGCGGAGCATCAAAGCAGACCAGCATCCAACGCAGCGTACGCTCCCACGCTGCGGAACGTAAAAGTCCGTCAGAGGACGGACAAGAGGGGCCGAGGAGACCACAGAAGCAGCCCTACCAGCCCCGCAGGTGATCTCGGAGTCTGAGCCCGAACCAATCAGAGCGGAGTGAACCGCCATGGGCAGAAATTTCGGCTAGACCTCTCCCGGTGCAGTCCATCACACGCGCCCTCCGAGGGCTTGTGTCCATCCAGAACCAAGAAATGGCGCGTGCAAGTCGAAACTGGAAGTGCGAAGTGGAAGTGGGAACAAAGGAACGCGTGGCCGGAACCTGCGAAGAGGGGCCTAGGGAACAAAACCAGGGAAGCGTCACATTAGGGGGGGGGGGGGGGGGGCACTCCCACTCGGGCTCTCTCGGCAGACGGAGGCCCGACCAGCATTTTGCAATCGACAACAGTAGCCACCAACATGTGAGTAGAGGATCCGGGACGAATAGCTGAAGGGTGCAGTCCGCTCCCCACGTCTGCCTTCCCCAGCCATGTCTCTCTCCGTTGGACCGGCGAGAGGGGAACGTAGCCGGCTAAGCATCCAGCCAGGCCTAGCATACATGCATGTGAGTTAGCGTCGTGTGCGTTGATGTTTCAATTTGGGCTCGATTATGATGCCTTAGGCGCTAGACCAGGTCGTAATTTTAAGGGAGAAAGCAAGGAAAGCAAGTGAACAATGAGCGCGGTGGAAGCAAGCACAAAGCAAGTGATTTATTCAACCTTGATAATGCACATCAGTTAATTACGTAACCTTCACGAGTCCACGTAGAAAAAGGGTAAAAAATTATGGACTTCGCGCTGTGTAATGTACTAGTTAATTTCCGATGTGCACGACTCGTGACGTAAAGTTGAAAAAAACGTACATTGTAATGCATACTTTGCCACGGATCAGCTAATTTTCAGAACTGCACGATCTTTACGGAAAATTGGAGTCAGGAATGATAGACATGTGCATTCGACACGTAGCTGTGTATTGGCGATGCGCTCAGTTCTTCACGTAGATTTGCTGTAAATAGTTACGTGCATTGCGACTCATTCCACATCACTGGTTGGTTCATTTCGGGACTAGCACGATCTCTTTACGGAAACTCGAGTCAGGAATCACAAAATTTATCATTCAACATGCACCACTTTCGCGACAAGCCCATTTCTTAATGTAATTTTGGGAAACGGGTACATAGCGATACATTCTGCATCACCGGTTTAACGTAATGCATTTCATTGAGGTCAAAAGCCTGCTAGAAAGCTAAGCATCTTGTCTGTTGACGGTGACAGAAACAACAAGCCAGGATCATACCATGTGGACGCAGACCGAGCATAAAATAGCTCTCAAAAGCTGCCTCAATGGCATACGGTATCAGTCTGCATCTGATGGGATCACAAGATGTGTCAATATTCATGGGCAATCAGCAAATCATTAGATCTTCAACAGTGATTGGTGGATTGGTGGATTGGTGGCAAATCAGGGCCACACACAGCCATGCTGAGTCTGCCGGGGCAAAAGGTGCCGGCAGATGTACACCTGGCTACCCACTGTTCAGCGCCATTCTCCCGATCCCTCCATGGATAAAACCTGATATGATGTGCCGCTACCGATGACTTCTTGGCAGTCGTCTGTAAGTGGGCTAGCTTTGTCATACTCCGCGGGGGCTCACCAGGTTGGAGACGCCGACGATGGAGAAGATCAGGCCCGAGTTGGTCTCGCTGAAGAGGCCTGACGAGATGGCCAGCGCACCGAGATGGACGTACACGATCACCAAGCCAAAGCAGTAGAGGAAGTTGTTGGAGCACAACGTCAAGAATGGAACTGACTTCATGATTCCCAGGTTCTCCTTAAGCTCGATGAGGTAACCCTCTGGAACATTGTACCGAGTCTGTTACGCTGGAATTGAAAACAGCGAATAAAAACCAACATTGATAAGTGGCTCCACACATCAAGAAAGCCAACGCCACGGTTTAGAGGCCGCGTTTACATAGCATATACGAAATACTGCCAGATGGGCATGAAACTTTGCTAAGGTAACTAGACGTGTTGCCCGACGTTAGCTTGCCTTGAGTGGGACGATGTGTTTCTGGACCGCATAGTTTCAGTAACACACATGGCGAATAAAAACCAACATTGATAAGTGGCTCCACACATCAAGAAAGCCAGCGCCACGGTTTAGAGGCCGCGTTTACATAGCATATACGAAATACTGCCAGATGGGCATGAAACTTTGCTAAGGTAACCAGACGTGTTGCCCGACGTTAGCTTGCCTTGAGTGGGACGATGTGTTTCTGGACCGCATAGTTTCAGTAACACATCGTCGCGCACTTTGAAAGCACCCTTGCCGTTTCCCGATACTTTGATAAGCAACACCTTTTTAACAACAGCTTTTCCCACCAATGGCACCATCAATCGGATACACTGACAGTAGCTGCACAGGCGCCCGCCCGCCCTGCGCGAGGTCTGCAAGGTTTACAGTTCGAAAATAACGCGCATGCGTGCTCCCCGACTTTGCGTCCGAGGCAACCAATCAACTTTATTTGACAGTATCACTAAATCTGCCGACCAATCCGCGTTGAGCAAAGCCAATTTCAACACAGCTCGATGCGTTTCGAGCTTCGTCTCACGTATTTCGTGGTTTGGCTGCCATGCATTGCCGTATGTGAAGGGAGATTATCATTAACGTAAGTAACGACATTGATAGTCGATGATTACTAGTTCCATAGTAACAGCGTTGCGATTGCCAATCACGGATAACACAGCACCAGCGTACCATCTTTACGCACCAAAGATACCGTGAGAACAGTGCAGAAAAGGTTGCCACTGTGCTTTGGCTATACATACAACGAACAAGACAACGAGAGTGTCCCCATTTGTGTGGGGTTTCGAACTGAAGAAACCATCTTGAGATCATTCGATATAGCGTACAGCCCTGCCCTTTTCAACCTATGCCCGGTCGGTGGTGCCCGGTGGAATATTGGAATTCTGCGTCAAAAATGCCCATTCAAACCGACTATTTTGAGCTCAGAATGTGTTTTGCAGAAGACACACATCAAGGTAGGTTATAACCTAGGCCAATGTTATGTGCCCTGAGTTCGTATTATAACTTTGCATGTGAGTCAGTAATTTTTACCTAATATATTGACACCAAAACCACACAAAAATATGTATACCATTGCATTGCTTATGAAAAATGGCAGAAAATAGCCTGCGATTCGGTGACTGACCGTATTTTCCGTGAAATCTGAAGAAATTCAAACTGTAGGTACCACTGTATTCTATAACGGTAGCAAATTTGAGTGATGACAAATAACATTCAAAAAAGCTACCTGCGGTTAAAGCTTGTTAGAGGTTGATCTATTTGACTCCGACCTAGGTCACTGATGTTAGTAGATCAGAGCTTGATATTTACATAGAGGATGCTGAATTGATGTTTGAAAAGGTGCTTACAATTTCGTGCTGCTGTGATTCTTGGCGTTTGACTTATGCTCGAAAAACCATAAATGACAAAAACCGAAAAGTGCGGAAGTCGGCTTCTCGCCGGCCGGGCGGGGCAAGAACTAAACCATTTTAGTTTTCTAGCATCACACCCGCAAAAATGTGAAGGCTTATTCGGAGAGACTTTTTAAGGTCACCCAAGCATCCATGACGTCAGGCAGATGCTGCCATTCCACTTGCCATGCGGCGATAAGGGCAAAAAATCTAATTGTCAAGCCTTTCATGTCTGGTGTTCGTGAGCAAGATATCTAGATATAGCGGTCGTCAATTGGCTATTAGTCAATGTTGTGCAAGCTGCATGACACAACCAAACAATGACATATTGAGGAAAAGCATTACTAAACAGAGAAATTGTACTGCCTGGACCAGCCTTTTTCACATAAAAGCATGCCAGCTGCTATAAGTGAGGTTATTTCATCCTATCTGATGCTTGCTTCATTATCTTCAAATGTGGAACATTGCACGTTAGACTGGGAAAACAATGAAGGAAGCTTCTTACATAGACCCCGCTACCCCATCATTTGATGCCTACTTATCTACATTTCAATTATATCATAAGTCCTGCGCGATTATGCTTAATGCATCACACCGACATAGCATTTGTATGTATGCATATATATATATATATATATATATATATATATACATATATATATATGTATGTTTTTTATCGTTTTCAAAGATTCGGAACTGATGTTATAATTCATGAAATGTCATGATTCAACGTGTTCCCACGTTCTCTTACTCTGGAAGGCACTGGCATTCCTTTTCTCGATGGGCTTCATCAGGGCTCCACAGACAGTCAGAGTTCCCAGCACGATGCTCGCGATGATGAGCAACACCATCCTCCACGTGTACACCTCCATCAGGGCCCTGAAGAAAGGTGGTCCCAAACAGAACTAGATAACGCTGCAATATACGGAATAAATATGTTGACCAAAGAACCCAATATGTACCGGAAATTGAATCTCACTAGATTTGGCAGGATTTTGAGAGAAAACAAAGCAGTTAATGCACTTAAACGGGAACAGGATTGATAAGACCTCACTGGTATGATGATGGATGGCGAGAGGCTGCTGCGCTGATGATGAATGGTAAGACACGACGGGCTTGATCATGGATGATAAGACACCACTGGCCTGATGTTGAATGAAAAGACATCACTGGCCTGGTGGTGGATGGGGGACACCACCAGCCTGATGATAGATGGTGAGACACTTCCGGAATGATCATGGGTGGGGAGGCACTACTGGCCTGACGACGGATGGAACGATGGTAATGAGTTCATGCCAGGTGAGACAGCGTCAATGCCTGATGGAAGGACGAGAAGACGACGACGCCGCTGCGGATCCCGGAGTCGTACATGCTTTACGACGCGGGAGGGAGGGCACCGACCTGATGACGGGCGGGAAGACGAAGCCGCCGAGGCCGACGCCAGAGACAGCCAGGCCGAGCGCGATGGTCCGCCGCTGCTCGAAGTACTCGCTGACGATGACCACTGTCGGGATGTAGGCCAGGCCGAGGCCGATCCCTGCAACACGCCGCAGTCACCGCGTGACCTCGCCAAGCCGGTGGCTTTCGCGGAGCTCATGCGGTTCCAAGGCTCGGCAAATCCGCTGCACACGGCAGACGGCGTGGTCTCGCCGGAAATTCCTCGGAAGCATGCTTGAGAACATGTGCACAAAATCAGGAGGCATGCTTGAGGACAGCTGCACCATATTGGGTGATATCACGCCGACTCGGTGGCAGGGCTCTCCATCGAGGTATGCTCAGCTTCAGGCCAACCAGGGTCAGCAATGGGTTCGTCTGAAATAACGATCATTCGGCGTGTATGCCAAGATTGGGCGTGATAAATGAGTCCCGAAATGCCTTAGGACTTGCGGTGAGCTCTAAAGAGATCAAGCTCTAAAAATCTTACAAGCGGACTTAAAGATCACGCTTTAAAGCGCATGACAGAAAAGGGCTTCAAGTGATAGTCAACCGTATCTAACACGCGTCCATGCATTTATCCGTGCAGCACGTCAACGGACGCGTGCACCTGCACCAAACCCGGCGTCAGTGGCAGCCGCCAAAACTGGTGCACACCGGATCATCTCCCCATCCAAGCACATCAGTGCTGGCGCTGCACAGGAATTGAATAACGGCCGTCTCTGGTGGCGGCTGGCTGATTGGCAGTGAATCACTTGCCCGGAAGAGGTCAATTATTGTCGTTGTCGACGGCTGGGTGCCTGGTGCCGACTGAGGGCGTGGCGGTATTTCAAGCAGGCCAGTGAGCAGCTGAAGTTGTGCCGGACAAAATCGGTTGCTACTTAATTCTTTGTGTATGTGGACTTGATAAGCTTCCGTGAAACATATGCTCTCAGTATGAATGATCTCAGGTCCACCGTAACACGCTAACTGGAGGGGCGGGGCGAACACTACTTTAGCCTCTCCCAATGTTGGTTTGACCCAGTTTGACATTTTTACCCATTCTGCTGGTAGGAGAGTCGCCACAGGTTTTCAGCTGGCGGGGGGGGGGGAGGGGACAGGGTCTTCCATGGGTCTCACCGGTGGCCTCCAGCGAAGCACTGTATTCAAGAGTGAGGGGCACTGAAGATGTGTGCCCCGTTATTAAATTGTTGCATTATCATACTCAAGCAAGTAAATGTCGACAGTCAAAAATATAGGTTGTGGATCTTCTAATTACTCGACAAAGGGCTTCGTTAGGCTAAAACAGGGCCTCCTGCTACAGAAAAGAGCCTCCCTAAGCAAAGATGGCCCTACTAATCCGGGACAAGAGGCTCACGATTCCCCCAGGGGCCTCCAGATCTAGCCAAGAAACCTCGACAGCCCAAAACGGGACATCCTGATCCCAATCGACGGCCAGCTGATGTTGGAAGGGCATCCTGTCCCAGAAGTGAACCCCCTGAATGTAGAGGGTGCGCCCCCAACCAGAACAGGGGCCTCCCAAGTTGTAACGGGGGCCTCCCGAGCCAGCAAAGTGGCCTCCTTAATTCAACAGTTGGCCTCCTGATCTAGAGTACTGGCTACCTTATTCACAAAGGTGACTTCAGGACCTAGGAGATCGGTCTCTTGATGTAACAAAAGGCCTTCTAAGCCTGATTTATTACTCTGTATTTCAGTATTTTAGCAATGAGGCCTCCTGAATCTAAATTTGGTTATTCTTTCTCATGGTTGCAATGCCCTTCGTTGGAGAAAAGGAGAATCCCGAAACATTTGGCAACCGAAGCATTCTCTGCCCCCTCTGCCCCTCCCCCTGCTGCGCTACCCCTGCCTGCTGATGTATAACGGTTGGATGCGGTACGCAGCGCGACGAATCCAGCCTGTTTAAAGCACGGGTCGTGGGCTGCGTAAGCGCGCATGCGGAGTGTGTACCCGTGGCTCAATCAGCTGGAGCGCCTGCCTCTGAGCCTACCGTGGCGGGGTCGGCGAGGTCGGGTCGCTTCAGTGCTTGCCTGGTATGTGGCCAGTGGCAGCAGCCGCTCAAGATCAGATGAGGTCAAACGGCGGAGTAGACCGGGCCGGACATTGGGGCAGTTCGCTATTGGGGCCAGTTAAATTTTCGCTACAAAAACCGGCCGCTGAGCTGGAATATCATGATCGGATGGTGGGGCGAGGGCTCACGCAACAAGCTGCGCTTAGCTTGGGAGCTGATTCCAGAGATATGTTCGATCGAAATGTTTGGGTTATTTTTGTTTAAAGCTTACCAAACTTAACAAGCGCACGGGTGGGGAAGGGATCACTTTGACCCCTCACCCCAGAAAGTGTTTCTAAAATGCCACGGGCTAGCCGCGCGTAACTTTACATAGTTGTAGGCAATGGACTGGCGAATCTTTTGGTATAAAACTTGGATGTAACTTGTAACGCTGGCCTATCGGAGGTCAAAATCAGGCTGTTGCTGTCAGCGAAGGCCGTTCTGAGGAAATCGTTTAAAGCCGTATATATCTGGTATGTTTTCTCTGGCAAAACTCTAACTGAATGCAGAATCACAACGGATTCCATGGATCTAGGGTCAGGTATGAAGGTTAGACCGAGGTCAACATCAATCTGCTTTTACACTAAATCTTGCTTAACCGGGTAGTCTCTGGTACTAATTTTAGAGTTATTAACACAGGGACCACAACAGATATGTTCCATGGACTTTATAAACGTCAGAATAGGTCACTGAACTAAAAGGACCCAGACAAACATTTCGATAATAGGAGCATACCGTCCAACGTAACCCCTGACGCTTATTTGAATGTCAAAATGGTAGCAGTTTTTGTATTTTTGGTCATCTTGACCTCCAAATGGTCAAAGAAGACCAATGGTCTTAGATGAACACCATTGACCTTGTTCTTACAATACGCATCTAGGTTCACAGCGCTTGCGGGAGGAAGTGTGGAACACTTTGGACACCAGTCTGGAATTTGACCTTGTCTGACCTTATTTGACCCCAAATTTATCACCTAGGAACCTCACGTTTTGATAACAGCGAGCTCACATACGGGGGGGGGGGGGGGCAACCTACCCCGTGAATTTGGTGTCCCTAGCTAATTAAGTTTCCGAGATCTCGGTGGGTCAAACCGACCCCCGATCCGAGCGAAGGATATTCAACTGGACACCCGGGCGCGTGTTAAGAACGTCACAGGTGCAGTCAGTTTATCATATCTAGGTGTCCTTTCCAGTTTACTCAGTCATCCCCTTCCTGGTTTAGCCGCCAGCTGATCGCCGAAAGGAGTCTGACATTTCAGATGAAAAGGAAAAATATAATCGGTCGCCCGGCGCTGGTAGGTACTACCGCTTCACATTAACGGAGCCCCGCTAGTTTTTTCAGGAAAAAGAAATGTCCGCCACCTGCAGCCGCATCGCAATAAACAGCTAGCGTGAATTATATTAACGGGCTTTGAATGCTTGCCAAATTCGACCAGTTTTTTAACTAACTTGCGCCGCAAATTCTTCCCAAATGAATGCATGTTTGCAAGATTTTTCAGCGCAAGTTTTGGGTGTCAACCCTAATGCAAATATTCAGCGTTGAATGTGCCTTAAACTAGTTTCGGGATCAACATTAAAGCCCGCCAGCTCCATCAGACTCTAGTTTATTTCTAGCAGAATTCGAAGCGCCTCTGTGGTGCAGAACAGGTTGACCTGCTCCAGGTACCTCATTGTACTTATGTAGTCGGAAGACGGGGACATACTATTAATGTGTCCCAAAGGTACCATTGTAGAGCAATTATAAGATCTTTGTACAGCACAATGTGAATAACTAAAAGACGCATTGTGTGGAAATGAAAGATACATTGTGACATGCTCACTCTTCAAGGCTACTCTGGCGCCCGGAGTACAACGGACAAATGACTATTGAAGCTATTTCTAGCGCACTAGCAATAGCTGATAATATTAATTTGTCATGACAGATGATGCTACAGCGGTCATTTTAAGTGGCAAAATCTGTTCCATTGATTTTGTTACCTCAGAGAAGATGGAATTTGGCAGAGGGGTGGGCATGGATCGTTACATACCACTTATACAAGTATACATCATCATGGCGTGAATTTCAATCAGGGACTCAGCAGACTTTCGCAAATCGTCACGGAGGCAATAGTTCCACGGCGTTCTATTTCCTGGGCCTACCGAATGTTTGGCACCGACATTTGCCTGTGTTTCGTACTGCTCGAAAAAACAAACCAGGGAGTGCTCTTGAACCCGATCCGCGGATTCATCCGTACTTTCCGATGCCGATCCCGCCAGGCCCTGACCGCCCTCTGCCGACAGCTCCCCAGCAGCCGCGCCGCGGGCGCCGGCCGGCGCTGCGACAGGAACGACGACCGCGGCGCGCCCGCGGCCCGGCTGCGGCGCGTGGCACGCGCGGGCGCCATTGACCGCCCCCCCCCCCCCCCCGATCAGTCCGGTCATAACATATGAAGCGGCCGCTGTGTGCGGCGCCCGCCGCCCCGCCCCCTCCCTCCGCCCCTGACAACAACAGGCCGCCCGAACCGACCGTGGCCACGCGCACAGCGCTCGATACCAGTCGCTTGGCGACCAATGGCAGCCTTTGGAATGCACGCACCACAAAGCAGGTGCCGGAATGGGGTACACACATACAGCAGTTGTCACGCCAAGAATTTGTTGACATGAGCATGAAGTACCCTTTCCATTCAGAATATTTGTTTTGGCTATTGTTTCTGGCAACCTTCTCCCGGCTGCGTCCACCACTGAGCATTACAGATGCATATGTATGGTTTTGCAATGCCAGGTGAGAGGATGACACATAGATTTGAAAGGCATGCTCACTCATCAATGAGGAACTTTTTGACAACCGTGAAAAGGTGCAGCTCGCAGATTTTTGTTCAGTTCTTGCGGCTGACCATGCGTGCCACTGTTCAAGGGACGCCGTGTGTGTCTATGTATGAAATGGCGGCACACGAGCTCTTTAACTTGATTGTTTCTGGTTGTTGTGAATGGAAGCGCACTGATGTTGAGACGTTTGTGGACATCGTTCTGGCGGCACAAATGCAGGTTTCTGCAGGAACAAAGACCAGTTGTACAGGAACTCGCGTCAACTTTTGTTTACAAACAACAAGACTTTCAAATAATTCAAGTGGCGATGGATATGGCCAGCGTTTGAGTTTTGATCAAGGAAATTATTACGTTTTGACTGTTCTGCGTTTCCTGTGATTGTGGCTAGATTTCACAAAATAGACATTGTTGGTGAAAATTGAAAATAATGGACGTCAACGATCACTGGGCTGATCACTGGGCATTCATTGTGTCGCCCCCTTTCTTGGTCAGGCACTAGAAACTTGATCCCCGGATTGGTTTTAAAAAGGGGCATTGACCAATTCACGCTTTATCGCTGTCATTCTTTTTGATTGAATGGTGCTGATCTGCTTGCTGAGTCATATGCGGTATGTTTGTTCACACAATAAGAATGGTTCTAGCTCTGTACCTACCCTGGTTGCCAAAACCTGACGTCATTGCCAACACCAGCCTCTGACCAGCGGAGCTATGGCTTGCGCTTTGGTTCTAGCTCTGGACCTGCGCTCGTTGCCAATACCTGACGCCATTGCCAACACCAGACTCCGACCAGTGGAGCTATGGCTCGCGTTCAAGGGTGTCTGACTTGCCGCATACAGTGGGACGCACTGATGACATTCCCAATCCCCGCATGTCTTAGGAAAACTGTGCCGATCCTGCGTCGCCCCGAACCTAGGCTGTTCACATCTGGCCCGGTAGTGGTCAGCGCTGTGGATATTTTCGCCCAGCATGTGCAAACGTTAGCTTTCGCATGTCAATTGCATGCCGCATGTCGCATTGAATTCAGATAACAGTACATATCAGCAATGCAGGGGATTTGTGATTATAATTTTCGCCAAAGTACAGACGTCCAGCAATGAACACATTATATTTTCTTTTGGTGGTTCAATGGCACTGTCATGTTTATTTTTGCGTTGCTTATCATGCTTATCGGTTGAATTCTCAGCTTGTTTATTCGTTTCGTCTATAGTCATTGGCGTGTTTAACTGATCGGTCCAGGAGGGAAGTCGATGGCCCGTTCACAGCAGGATTAGTAGAACACCTTAAATGGTGAATGAGCGAAATCCAGCTGAATTTTAACACACGCCCGGATGGCCGCTGTAACACCGCTCAAGTGAGGGAGGGGTCAGTAAATTCCCCCTAAATCTCAGAGATAAGAGAGCTGAAGATACCTCATGGATAGGGTAAATGGGCCTACATGTCACATCATATCTGTAATTTTTTAGATCCGCAGGTTATAACCTTCGTGTCAAATGAGGTTAAACAAGGCCAAACACCAGATCGGTATCTGAAGCTCCCTTAGACCTCTGCATGCAGCCTCCTTTTACCTAGATGCCTTGACTAAGCAAAAGACCACTGGCGCCCATTTCAGGTCGTCGACCTTATTTGACCTTTACAAGGTCACGGTGACCAAAGACCTTCAAGACTGTTCTGATCTCTTACTTGAAACAGGCGTCAAGGATTACACAAGGTGGTATGCTCTTAAAAAAGATTGATGGGGGTCATTTTGTGCCTCTGGACACATCCGACCCACATGAAGCCCAAATGACACGTCCGTTGGCGTACCTGTGATCAAGAAACAAGAGATATTCATCAAAAATTACGTCATAAATCGCTAGTTCCAGTAAAAAATGTACCGGATTTTGGCCTGGGTCTGACATCCTTCTGATCAAGGTCAACGAAATAAGTCGAAACCCTAAACTGAATTGTCCAACCGTCTTAGAAACTGTCCTAAAACTCTTTGGGTTCGTCTGAAACTCCCACGCCGCATCAGATTCAACAATTCCCTCGGGATTGCCTTCGCTGACAGCTATGACCTAACGCTGATCTGGCGTAGGTCAACGACCTTGCTAGGCACGTCTAAAATGCATGTCACAATCTGCTGTTGAACTGGCTACAGCTGTGCAAGGATTGACGTGGCCACGCTGCGCCGTTCGGAAGCTTTTTAGACAAGTCTTCATGGGTTAAAACCCACCTCCAACCTGAGCGCGTGTTAAAGTTGATTCTTACGTTGCATCACGCTAGCTCCAATGCTCCACCTTCTCTAAACGCTGGTGGGATATTCCCCTCCCCCAGCCCTCTGCTCTTGCGCCGATGGATTGGGTTTCAGCCTGGCTTAACATATGTCGCGTCGCTTGCCGATGTGACGTCACTCTGGCGGGCTGCCGACGTGACGTCACTGATATGCTGCCGGTGTCGATGCTTACTTACCACCAAGCAGGGAAAACGTCAGGTAGAGGACGTACAGCTGCTGATGAGCCAGCACCGAGAGCGCGATGCCAGCTGAGGCCATAACGCCGCCGGAGAGGAGCACCGGCCGGCAGCCGTAGCGCTGCACCAGCGGTGACGAGATCACACCTGCGGCAGCACGGTGCGGTTCTCAGGGGCAGCCGCAGGGACGGGCCAGCGGAGGGTGCAAAACGAGGGAACCGTCGAGAGTGAAGGAGCGAGGAGGGGGAGGCAGAGAGAGAGAGAGAGGTAAAGGGAGAGAGAGAGAGAGAGAGAGAGAGAGAGAGAGAGAGAGAGAGGGGGGTAAAGAAAGAGAGAGAGAGGGAGAGAGAGAGGGAGGTAAAGAAAGAGAGAGGGAGAGAGAGAGAGGGAGGTAAAGAGAAGGAGGGAGAAAGAGAGGGAAGCGGGGTACTAGGGAGCTGAGCGAGATAAGAATCAAAATGCTGTTTAAAAACACTGCAAGAAGAAAATTACGTGTGATCAAACCGACGAAGTAGGTTTATCAGATAAATGTTCACCCACCTGATGAAAACATCATCGCATTCAATAACGAGCCGACCCATGCGGTGGCAGTTTTTGATTGCTGGAACTCCGCCAAGAAGATGACGTTGAAGATACCGACTGACCACGAGACGCCATATATGACCACGTGGGCCTGTAAAACACGCAACGAGCACGCATGAAAAACATATCAATGTGTTGAGTTGCCGCAAGGGTTTCTGGTTTGCGCAGCTTGGCTGGAAGAAAAGGAGTTATGCATCATTATTTTCTCAATGATCATTCGTTGCGAATATAACAAAGACGAGAACGACAAAGCTCGGCGACAGCGTGATGCAGTATAGTTGCAAAGTAAGCAAATTGAGAAAAACGTGGGTAAAGCAGGTTTCAATATCTGAGCATTGCTGACCGGTGTGTCATTACCGTGACACATAGCCGATGCAATGATTATAGAGTTTGCGGGTTTATATATTGTTGTAATGCTATGCTATTTCATGTTAACCTGTTTGATGATTAACTCCATTTAAATAGTTGTTCTCGTATTAATTTACGAGGCGTATTGGCTGTGTGCGTACTTAAAAGTATGGCATCCTCATACTGTTTCAACTGTAACGTTGCACCACTCGGACATCTGCTGTACTAATCGGGAGACATGGAGCAAGGTGAAAGATGTCTGCTGTCAACCAATGTTTGGGTTCTCAATGAAGAGAAGGCACACAGAAAAAAACGAAAGAAAATCCGAAAGACGCATGCAACCAATGATCATTTGGGTTCGCCATGAATGAAAAAAGAAATGTGATAAAAACACAAGGCTTTTCACGGGCAATGAGCTTCACTAACAGTCCGAGCAAAGAGAGCTGCAGCCAAAACCTATTCACGTCCAGTGACTTGCCAAGAACGAAGCGAACACGATGACCCAGCCGTAGCCCCCATCCGGCTTCGATTGTGGCGCAATTTCTGTCAACTCCTGTTGGGCCTTGGCTTGGCTCGGGTCGTTTGTGCACGGCGTGGTTTCGGCGGGGCAATCTGAAACAATTCAACACCTGTAACACCCATCACAACCGCTCTGTTGGCCGCAATCGCGTGGCGTAATCTTAGGCCGAACGACCACCTCTGCTTATGTTTTGTTTGGCTCGTCACGTTGACCGGCCGCGGCCTTGGCCATCCAGGAACCCGGTAAAACCGCACGCAGCGCTCGGACCGATCCGCCAGGGAACGTCGTCTTCATTGTTGGAGGGAAGTGCTGACTCATCTCGTTGGCTTCGTGTGAAGGAACGGAGTGGTAGAGCTGAGCGAAGGGCTGTAAGGACGTAAGGGCGCGAGCAGTGAACTCGTGTTAATCCATGAGCGTACACTAGCTCTTCGAATACACGAGTCCGCTGAATGCCCAAGACCACGAATATCTCTTATCGAAGTCGATATTGATATCGATGTCATTGTTCATATCGCCGTCGACATCCATATTGATGTCCACATCTCAATCAATGTCGATTTGAAATAGGTGTGCATATGCAATGTGTGCATAGGACGTGTCCATCCGCGTTCACAGCAGGCCAGGCGCCGAAGCAGCCGTTAGGGACGAGGTCCACGGCCGGCGTTGTTGTCTTAGCAGGCGGACAGGTGCTCTCAGAGAGTCCGCGCTGCTCGCTGCCCAGCTGCTGTCCGACACGTGTGCGCGAGTGCAGCTGGCGGGCTGCCGCGCAGCATGCGGCCCGCCGTTCGGGGTCACGGCCGGAGTTCAGTCACCTCCCCTGTGGCCGCGCGGCCGGCCAGGCGCGCTTGGCAGCTCGCGCAGAAGAGCTCGAGTCAGGCTCCAGTGGGATTTTGCTTCGTTGTGGACTGAGAGCATCGTCATCTGCAACGCTATTGGTCTAACCATGTCAAGGGGTCGTAAAGGTCAATAACCAAAATACCGTACTGGGGACGTACAGGCCAGTACGAGAAGCCTCAGAAAATTGATCACAGGCGTTTTTATGAAACCGATGAAAAAATGCAGGCCTTTGGTGTATATTTTGCGCTTTTTAAATACACATCAATCTATATTAAAAGGATGACGCCAACTGGACGGGGTGGGGTCAAAACATCCCTCAAAGGAGATGATAGGTCTCTTATATCCTCATAAGTAATGAACCGTTCAAGCATCATTACATAGAAGCTCACCTTTGCAGCGTCCCAAACACAATCTTAACACGTACACGGGTGGGGGCGCCAGTTTTGTCCCCAAGGACATTCCAAAATAACTCCTAAGCAGCGTGGCACAGCCGCGCCAGACTTTGCATGGCTCTAGGCAATTGAATAGCTCATCTTCCAGTATAAAAATTGATTTACCTCTTTAGGTCAACAACATATGGCAAGTCAATATCAGGCTACGGCTGCCAGGGAAGGTAATTCTAAGGGCATTGTTTAACATGATGATACAGTGTAGCATTAGATGAAAGTATGCAAATCTCAACTGGCTTAATAGGCAATCATACTGTTGGAATTAGGATCAATACTTATTCCATTGAAGTGACAAAGCATGGATGACATTTCGGGGTCCAAACCAAAGCGCTTTATCGCTGGAAAATTTGCCCTATGAGTAGTTGACTTTGTGACGGTATATTGACTTTATGAAGGTCACTTACCTAAAATGACCTCGATCAACCTTGTGCTTTGAGGAGCACGCCTCATAGAATAGCAATTGGCGCCGATTGTAAATTTAAATACCCCAAAAATTCCAAAGACTTCTGGTTATTCTTAACTTTTAAAGGTCAAATAGGGACACTGACGAGATATAAACGCCAGCCAAATTTCAATTTTAAGTGGTATCTAAATTAAGCTAGTTGTGTGATAAGACCTGAAGCTACTTCGGACACCGATCACGTAAGGTTGCTTGACCTCATTTGGCCCGAAGGCCACCCCCTGCGGACCCTAAGACATAGCACCATTGAGACCACATAGGGACCTACCGACCTCGTGAATTTGATGTCTGCAGCCTGTCAAGCATGTACGATATCAGGAGGGTTAAATTCTCCCTCCACATCCGAGCGCGGCGCATTTAACCTGCCAGCCCGGTGCGCTTTAATTGAGGCGAATTGACCCTAATTGCTACCCCATCACACTACGCAGGGCTGAAGATACGCGAAGTTTATTGGTGGGGCCAAAAGCCAATTATGATCATACGATTTTTCAGAGATTTTATCGTTGTGGACAGCTTTTCTCTTATGGATGTCATGGTGGAGTCGAAACCAACATTTGATCGGTAATGCAATGGCAAATAAAATCTGTCGGTGTCAGCATGATCCCGTTAACCCATGTCAAGTGATGAGCGCGCTGTAGGCACTGCAAGCTGCAAGCCGTTCAGCCTCCGACGAGAGTTCATTGAGGACGGGGTGTGTCGCTGAGCCGCGGCGCCATCCGCGATGCTTGTTTGTGTGTGCCAGCAGCCCATCAGCTAACGACCGACGGCCTCGCCGAAGCCGACGAGGCGCCTTGCCAACGGAGCCGGTTATACCGGTTCTGTCCGGACTGAGCCGTACCGAACCGGCCGCTACAGGCGCGGCCCGCCCTGCTGTCCAGCTCCCTCCCCCCAGAGCGGTATGAGCCATGTAGCTGGTGATTCAGCTACTGATTAGCTGGTGATCCAGGACAGGAGATAGGTGTGTTTGTTTGTCAGAAAAGCATGCTGAGGGACTGGTGGAATGTGTGAGAAGGTGTTGGATAATAACCAGCTCGTGATTCACTTCTTACTAGGCGACGCAATGCAGCTAATCGTGCTTTTCTGCGTTCTTTTTTCGTCTTCTCAAAACTGTTGCACCTCTGTCACTTCTACGTAGGCTGCTGAATCCCTAGATAAACCAAACCAAGCACAATGTCCAAAGTTCAGTCTCTGAATGAGTTGTAGGTTTGTGTAAAACGACCTTGCCCCCGTTCAGAGCTCATCCAGTGTTTGAATTGTTCCTTTCGTCCACATCGTGGTAAGAATTAGAGGTGCGATTCGCCCTACGAGCCTGGCACTAGTAATAAACCGGCACCAACCTGGATACCCGGATATCGGCCCAGAGCCGGCAACGTGTGGCTGTCATCAGTATCGTTCGCTGTTTCCAATGCACTCAAGATAATTCAGCATTTCTCGGTACTGGCGTGGCCTCGGCACCGCCAGTCCAGGAGCTGACCGAGCACCGACGGTACTGATGCAGTCCAGGCAACGCTCATGTACCAAAGGTACTGGCCTATTTCTGGCACCGCTCCAGAGGCGACGGTACTGACGCAGTCTAGACGCCGATTCAGTACCGATGGTACTGACTCTGTCCAGGCACCACTTCAGTAACGAACGACAGTGCTGACTCAGTCCAGGCACCGCTCGAGTACCGACGATACTGACTCAGTCCAGGCACCGCTCGAGTACCAACGATACTGACTCAGTCCAGGCACCGCTCGAGTACCGACGATACTGACTCAGTCCAGGCACCGCTCGAGTACCAACGATACTGACTCAGTCCAGGCACCGCTCAAGTACCGACGATGCTGACTCAGTCCAGGCATCGCCCGAGTACCAACGATACTGACTCAGCCCAGGCACCGCTCGAGTACCGACGATACTGACTCAGTCCAGGCACCGCTCGAGTACCAACGATACTGACTCAGTCCAGGCACCGCTCAAGTACCGACGGTACTGACTCAGTCCGGGCACCGCTCGAGTACCGACGATGCTGACTCAGTCCAGGCATCGCCCGAGTACCAACGATACTGACTCAGCCCAGGCATCGCTCAAGCACCGACGACACTGACTCAGTCCAGGCACAGCTCGAGTACCGACGGTGCTGACATTTTTCAGGCGCCGCTCCAGTAACGACGGCCTTGACGCACTATACGGCGTGCCAAGACATACTTTGCGTCTCTTCTGGTGACATAGATGACGGGAAAACGTCTGCAGCTGCGAAAACAGCCTGGTAATTTACTTGGCTTTAGTTCCGTCTCGCGCCACCTATCCAGTGCCCTCACCTAGGTGGTGAGCGCCCGTATCCTGCCGGACTGGCGCACTTGGCCCACGGCGAGCGCTGATTCTGGGAACTCCTTTGTGAAGAAACTGCCGGACATTCTAGGAAGTCTAAGCTCTATCGAGATTCCAGAAATGAACGTCATCCGCGTTGCGTATACCAGGCCATTTGTGCAGAAAAAATTGTCTGTTAGCTTGCTGTGAGGTAGATCTCCTGTGATTTCTGATGACTTATGACTGAGGCTGACACGGATGTGCACATGGGAAGGAAGAAGCGAGGTCCCCCTCGAGAGATTGCCGTCCAGCTCTCCAACCTTTCTTGTAAACGGAATTGCAGTCCGATCTCCGATATTCCTTGGGATGCAATCCAGATCTCATCGCATCAAATAACAGCTTTCTACCTAATCCACGATTCACACTTCAAAAAGTGAATCCTAAACACATCCCTCGTACAATCCTAGAAAATCATATGCAATCTTAAAAAGATTGCAGCACATATTTTGCCAGCCATCCGTACATTGTCTCACCCTGCTTGTGGAATGACACCCACGACGCGTCAAAAGCACATGTTTGTTTCGCAAATTTCATTAAATAAAGAAGACACGTCAGGATTTTCAACTGCGCTAGATGATCATTTGCTATTCTCAAAGTCGCCTTGACATCTCGGCATTTTTTTTGGCACAATGTGTACAGAAGCAGGAGGCAAGGTTATATGTGCCTGAAGATAATGGTCATTAAACGAAACACCTCAGGAATATCAGAAGCAAAGTTGGAATATCAAAAACAAGTTGGAGGTGGAAAACAAGCCTAACTGCAAACACAATCGTAATGCATATCTCACTTCAAGTATGTGGCCGCGGCCTTGAGTGCAGAAGTTCGCGGATAATCAATATGGGAGCTAATGCTTTTGCATCTGCCACCAATTGCAGGACGGAGCTCGGAAACGAGCCAAAGCCAAGACGTTAGTTCGGTGAAAAGGTAGCCCTGATGAATATTGCGTTTTATGTTACCGCCTGCTCAGACCTTAGCATATGATAGATCTGTTAAA